CAGTAACTCACAATTCACAACACCACCGTGAGGGAGGAGTTGTTACAGCCTCTGCTTTACAGATGAGACAGACTACGGCACGTTGAACGTACGTGCTCAAGGTCACAGATCCAAAACTCAAAACCAAACTTTTTGCTATCAAGTCAGTTCTGACTCATGGCAACCCTATAGGGCAGGGTAGAACTTAGAACTGCCCCTGAGGGTTTTTCAAGACTAACTCTTTTTGGGGGGGATTGGGAGGGTATTTATTTATTTATCTTAATCATTTTATTGGGGGCTCTTCCAACTCATCCCCTCCATACATACATCCATTGTGTCAAGCACTTTTTTTTTTTCAGGAGACAAAGGATATTGATCATTTATTGTGTGTGTATATGTCAAGCACATTTGTATATTGTTCTCAAAACATTTTCTTTCTACTTGAGCCCTTGGTTATCAGCTCCTCATTTTCTTTGCTCCCTCTCCGCCACCCTCTTCCTCACGAACCCTTGATAGTTTATAAATTAATTATTTTTTCATGTCTTACACTGTCTGATGTCTCCTTTCACCTACTTTTCTGTTGTCCATCCCCCAGGGAGGAGGTTATATGTAATCCTTGTGATCGGTTCCCATCAAGACTTAACTCTTTGCAGAAGTAGAAAGCCTCGTCTTTCTCCTGTGGAGCTGCTGCTGGTTCCAAACTGCTGAACTTGTAGTTAGTCCAAAGTAGGACTACTACATTTGCAGAGCTCCCAAGGTCACACATGAGAAGTCACAGAAATCGGTTGTGTTAATTTACGTGGCTTGGCTTACACCCCCGTCTTTCTTAACCACTGTGACTAGATTGACTTCTAAAACATCCTAGAAAATGCCTTGGTTGTTATGTGTACTATCAAAAGACCTTTAAAAAGTGGTGCCTTAGATTCAGGTGCTTGATTTCATCCCATTACCTGGTGATTCGGTGATGTTTTGGTTTGCCACCTTGGAGTGCGTGGCGGGCGGGAGCCTTTTCTTCCCTATTCTTGTTTTCCTCCAAAACATCTCGACTGGTCTTGTTGGTGGAGAACAGGCATGACATGGTGCCTCAGCAACCCCATGTGTGTCACAGTGGGGCTGTGCTCAGGGTTTTCAGTAATGAATTTCCCATGAGGAGGTTGTCAGACCTTCCTCTGAGGTAGGTATCTCTGGTTGGACTCGAGCCAACAACCTTTTGGTTAGCAGCCAATCAATTTACCTCTTGCAATGCTTGCTTCATTATGAAATTGTTTTATCTTGGAAATAAATGAAATACAAGGCTAAATCCAAAAGTACTGACCCCAAGTCATGGAAACCTTTAATAAACAAATCTTTAATTAAAAAAAAAAAAATTCCCATAAGCAGTTCCCTCAATCATCTGAGCTGGCCCCTCTGCCTTGAATTCCTTGTGAGGGTACTCTAAAGTGAAAGAATTTCTCTACAACCATGCACTGATGGTAGAGATGTGGTAAAAGATTTATTTTGTCTTCCGTGTATGAACTGGAACCCTAATAGCAGTACTTCTTGAGCTACTTTTGTAGGAGGCAGACCTGGACTGTGGTTTAAAGACTCTCTCAGTTTCTTCCAACTTCCTTCCTGTTTTTTCTCAGAGACATTTTGCCTGGAAAAATAAGTAGCTTCCATTAAGGTGTACAGTGTTTTTATAAGAACTTAACATTCAGATTATATGTGGGGGTGTGTTAGACAGGGTTCTCTAGAGAAACAAAACCAGGACACATGACTTTATATATATTTATATAGATAGATAACAGGAAATAAACAGCTAATTAATTGATACAGCAGTACAAATGGCTCAGTGCAACTCACTTCAGTGAAATAGCTAAAACACTGGCAGTCCTTCAAGTCTTGAGGGTCGCCGGGTGCAAGTCAAGGAAGCAGACAGCTGAGTCCTCTAGAGCAATTCAGGCAATCCTGCCACAGGGAGCAAAACCGCAAGGCAGGTCACCAACAGTCAGCCAGATGACAGGGTCCAACAGTCCCCAGCTCAAGTGATGTACACTCCAGTAGCATGGCGAAGCAGGTCTTGAAGGAACCCCAAACTACAGCAACAAAGTCCAGGGGTTAGGAGTCCCACAGGTAGTGTAGCTTGCAAATTGAGGCAGAGAACAAGCTAAGGCAGCCACACAC